CTTTGAGGCTCCGGAAGGGATTCCCCTGTTCCCCAACCTCCAGATCACCTGCTCTATTTCTCACCAGGTGGAGGCCAAGAAGGATGAGAACTGGCACGGTACCGGTGAGTAGAGTACAGGACGAGGTGTGAGCGAGAAACTGGGAAGACCTACAAGGGTTGTAGTCCTGCAGAGGAAGTAGAGCTCCTTTAATTACACCCGAAAGTGAGAGTTTACAAATTTAGAAGCAAGGCTCATTGTCTGTCAATATGTAGGCTAATCGGCTCTTATCCCTTTCTGCTCCTCCCTGTACTTTTKCTATCCACTCGGTTCCTTTGCCTCACTCTCTCCTAATTCTTTCCCAGGCTGCTCGTTCCTAATCCCTTTTACGTTTTACCTACATTTCCCTTTATTGAATCCAGTGGTGGATGGATGTCGTGCCTGTTACTCTTTCTCTACTCCTGCACTTGTCTCATCCTACTTCCTTCTCTCCTGCTTTCCTTCCTTACTTCATTCCCCCTTCCTTCTCTTCCTGCATCACTTATTCCCATGAACCCCCTAGTCAGCTTCCTCACACCCTATAGTATCCTGTTCTTCAATTTCTATCTATGCTCTATGTGTCAATTCACTTCTTTCATATTTGTTTTGGTAATGGGACTTTGTGCTTCTACTTTTCTGTTTAGAAGCTTTGCCTTTCCTCTTACAATGAATTCTTTGACTTGAGAGAAGATTGTTCTCAGTCCTGCTGAAAGCAGTTAGTTATTGAATGTGGTTGCCATTTTAAATAAGATAAAATTTCAACCATGGTAACCAGAAGTGTGAGACAGGGAAAAGCTTTCAAAAGCATGCAGGGCCTGGGAATGTGTGAGCGTTGTTCCTAATTTGCACACTGTCATTGTCAACAAAGTCCTTACAGCCAAGATGTGTTATCACAAACCAGACTGATAATAGTATGTTGTTCCAAAATAAAGTGACTTTATTATGTGCATAAATAATGTCATTGGAACCATCCTGCAACAAGTAATTAGACTGACAGTGATTTTGCTTAAGGTCAGTGCTAGGTGGAGAAGAAGTAATTACATGTGATGTGGGCACTCTTAGGTAAGCAGGTCCCCCTTTGAGGGACTCCTCCCTCCATTGATGACTGGGTGCCTTTCTGGCCATATCTTCTTTCTGTTTGTCTCTCAGTGACAGACACACGAATGTCAGATGAGATTGTCCACAACCTGGATGGCTGTGAGATCTCACTGGTAGGAGATGACTTGGACCCAGAGAGGGAATACCTGCTCCTGGATGGGGCACTGCTGCAGCAGCGGGGCCTGGAGCTCRTTAACACCTCTGCCTACCTGACCATCACAGGTATGTCCCCTTCCTGGTCACAGCTGCCCAGTTACACCTCTGTCATTGCCTGTCAGGGAGAAGCACTTGATGGTCGAGATGTGTTGATGTACTTTGTGACACTGAGATGTAAACATTTCTTGAGCTCTTGGCTTTTGGAAGGCCCAGACCATTTTCTTGGAGATGTGGCTTTTCCTCCAGTACAAAGTACTGGGGTGTGGTGTGAGCTCTCACCCAGGCTTGTACCACTCCTCCTGACTTAATCCTTGGGATTTGGTGCTCTCAGGTGTCAGTAGCATTTTGCATGACRTGAACTGGGGGACAACACATCCCACAACATGTGGACTGGTACAACACTATTGTACTCTCCAGAACGTAACAAGGGCTGTTGCTCTTGATCCTTCCTTCCCTTTCAGTTGCTTTAGTGATGCAAGCAGGGATTCCATCAGGTCCTTAGCAKCCAGCTCCATCTCTGAGCCCTTCCTAAAATTAATGAACCCAGCATTGCCCTGGATCCCTCTATGGCTTCTGGTTGCTGCAGGRTTATGATTCCAGATGACTTTGGAGCAGGAGGTTCCTCACCCCACCCCTCTCTCCCTGTGCCAGGCGTGGAGAGCATTGCGGTTTAYGAGGAGATCCTACGCCAGGTCTCCTACCACATCAACCATGGTGCTGCCCTCTATGAACGCAAGTTTCACTTGTCCTGCACGGAGATGAATGGACGCTACTCCAGCAATGAGTTTACTGTCGAGGTACAAGACAAACACGTGCACACAGAGGTTCTTCTGCGTGCATGGAGAGGACATGGGGTGTGGGAATGCGTGGAATGTTCCATGGACACTGGGATGAGTCCTCTCACTCTGGTCTGTCTGCAGGTGAATGTTCTCCACAACATGAACCGAGCTGCTCATCCTAACCACATTCTGAGCTCCCAGCAGTTTGTACACCACGGCCATCATTTACCCGCAGAGCTGTCCGGTCACAGTTTGGCAAGCACCCACAACAACCCAAGTATGTAATGTTATCTTGGGTTTATTCCTTTAGATTAGGATGATTTTCTGAAATCCTCTCAGAAACTATAGCAGARGATTCCTCTCAGGCTCCCTGTACCCATTATCAGGTTTTCAGTGTACTGTCCTGTTCCATTGGTTGTTAGCCAGTGGACTGCAGTCTTTGTCAAATTGTATTTGAGAGCAYGGTGCAACAATCCTCCTCTTGTGGGATGTTATTTTCTTGATAACATTTTCTTGATGTAGAAGCAGGCTGAAATCTACACCTCAGAAGATCTAAAAAGAATAACTGTAAGCTGACTTCATTCATGGACCTTGCAAAGGTGCTGTGTGGGCTTGTGTAAAGTAATTTCAGAAAGAGGYTTCAACAGCAGGAGAGATAAGTGAGTCAAGACTACCACAGCTCTAAMGAGATGGGACTAGGTGGTGGTCAGCAAGGTAGGGAAATACAGGGGATGGCATCACACAGACAAGAGACTTCTTGCCCCCAAAACAGAGGAGAGAGAAGCCTGAAAGCTAGTCTAGATGTTTGTTTGTTCTGGTAGCCTTGTGCCACAAGCATGACCACACTCCAGTCAGTTCCTCCTGGGCTGTGGAAGCTCTGGGACTTGTCACAGACATATTGGTCCTCTGTTGTAGGGAACAAACAAGGCACCTTTGAGCTAGCTTTGGCTGCAGCTTCCTGCAGTAGCTGATCCCAAGCTGGTGCAGTCCTGCAGCTGGCACTGCTGGGGCAGCCTGTGTGTGTGTGCCATCCTCTCCCTTTTTGCCCGTYCCTTCCCCAGCTCTGCCTGATGGCAGCAGCAAACTTGTCCCTGCTGAACAGAGCCATAAAAAATTCATGGAGGGCCTGGATAGATTTTGCAGGGAAGCTGGTTATCTGGGGAACCAAGGCTCAGTCTACAGGCCTAGAACAAGCAGGTGGGAGTTTGGCTAGGGGTCTTAGATGAATTTATTTCAGGTTTTCTCCTGTGGAGAAGCCAGGCTTTTGCCATGGCACTAATCAGAAGCCCGTCATAGCATTCACACCTGCTCCATGCACAGTGAAGGCATCTTTTGGCTTCTTGCCTTCTCTACTACTTGGACAGAAGTGACACCCTCTGAAAATCATCGTTAAGCCCTTAGAGGCTGTCCCCAGCACACACTTGTCCCTCCTATGAGCAGGATACAGATATATGCTGTGCAACATTCTGGCGGAATTCTGCAGATAAAGATGGGCAGAGTCGACAAGCCAGGCTAACATCTCAGGAACTGCCTGTGCCCAGCGGCACAGGAAAGTCAGGATATGTTCCTGCCTATACCAAAACCCCATGCTCTAGACAGGAATCTCAGTTCCTGCATGTCAGGTTAGAAATGCATGTTTCTGTGACAGACTCTAGACACACTGTCTCGCTTKCTTTCTTCAAAGTGGTCCCCAGTGCTGCCACTGTCATCATCGTGGTGTGTGTGGGCTTCCTGGCACTTATGGTGATCCTCGGCATCCTGCGCATCCACTCCCTGCACCGGCGGGGAGTGGGGCAAGAGGTCCCTGGGGCTGCTGAGTCGGGGCACACCAGCACTGCAGGCAAAGAGAGCGACATGTTCTGGGAYGACTCGGCCCTCACCATCATCGTCAACCCCATGGAGGTGAGGAGCAGCCACYGTGGCCGGGGCTGGGTGGGCAGCTGCCATGTCAGACCCTTCCCCTTACCCCGTGTGTCACCTCCCCAGTCCTACCAGAGCTGTCAGGAGAGGGCAGCAGGAGCTGTGGAGGGCAGAGCTGGCRAGGGCATGGAGGATGATGAGGACAGCAGCGACTCGGAGACCCCCGACTCCCCGGACAGCAGCGACATGAATGACCGGCACATCATCGGCAAAAGTGACGTCTCTCACCGCTACTAGGAGCTTTAAAACACCCGCCCAGTGGACCCCCCGAAACTTATGGCAGGAAAGAGGAGGTGTCTTACTTTCAACTTCTTTCCTCCCCCACTGTGTACACACGTGCTCCACCCTCATTTATCATTTCTGCCTCCCATGTTCCTTCATTTTCTGCCATTCTCATTGTGGACATTCCCCACATTATTGATCCCCCATCTGGCTCTCCAGRAACATGTGTTTGGGCACTTACACATGATGGTGGCACAGTTCAAACTGTGATGCAGATGTTGGAAAGAACGGAAATCTGAAAGGCAGAGCCAGCCATAGGGCTCAGAGTGGGGTTTCTCACAACCCCTCCCCAGATATTATATATATATATATTGTATATTTTTTCAATGTTGTCATTTGAGGTTTATTCTCGTTTCATGCAAAAAAAAAAAAACAACAAACAAACCACTGCAGCTTTGTGTCGCTTTGTAAAATTGTCAATACTCCTAATACTAAATGAATGAAGGTAAGAAAGACGAGGAAACAAAGTGGATTTTAAAATAAATGGATTTCAAATAAAACATTCAGGACTTCTCCAGTTTTTCACTACAGCCAGGGAAAGAAAKAGTGTAGCCTCTAATGTAAAACTGGAGCTTGTATTTGCTGAAACTATTGCCTTGTCCTGGGGAAGGGTTACATTTTTTAGCACATGTGATGAAACAAGAAAAATGCATTACTCACAACCCTATTCCCTGTCTTTCTGAGAGTCAAAATACTCTTTGTAAACACAATGTAGCCTTCTCCAGGACACAGGGCTAGGAGCCCACAGAGGGATAGAAGGCACCCAAGCCTGTCACAGGCAAATGTAGCACATGCAGCAAACCGAATTCTTGAATACAGGAAAAGAAATAAATAAGGCTCTTTTCATACACTTAGTGTATCAATAGAAAAAGGCCAAATCTCCTTAGCTTCATCCATCTTCTCACTGGATCTGCTTTCTTTATCAGTATGACAGAGTGTTTTTCAWACCAGGGGTTCCAGCTTGTAGAACAGCCCCAGCACTTCTGGGAGAAGGAGGCATCCTCCCCTTTCTGCTGAGAATGGAGGGAATGGAAACACAATAGACACTTGCAAAGCATGGCTCTGAACCCAGCAGTAGCATGAGTTGTTAGGATGGACAGTGCTTCACAGCAGATTGTGTGCTTCTTCCCTGGATCTACTTGGTCTGTTTTTTCAGACCCTGCAAGACAAAAAAGGGCTGTCAGCTGCCYGACACATCTTGGGGCAGTGGCTGCAACATGTGAAGGACCCAAAGGAAAATTCTGCAATTTGTTGGCAGCCARGGTTGAGAAATCCTACTTGGGGCAAGAAGGCAGTACAGCAGGTGAGAGTGGAAGGGAGGGCATGAAAGGTTGCAGCACAAGATCTCTGCTGCTGTTCTCTCAGATGTCTCAGCCCTAGCCTGTCTTCATGCCCAGCTGTGCCCACGTATGGTTGTTACTGGGTCCAAAAAAAGTGAACATGCTGGGGCTAAGACACTTTTATACCTTCTGCTTTGTCTCCTTCCCAGTAAGTTCCATGCCCTTGTTTCATCCAGGGAGTTTACAAAAGGCACTGTCAAACCAGTGCTCTGACATCTTGGAGCACTGGAATAATTCAAGTCTCTAGGATAAAAAGGCTACATTGTGCACATTGGAGCAAAACACTTGGCACAAAATAGTCATTGTGTCCTGAGAATGCCTGACCCAGTTCTGATCTGTGACAAAAAGCACCAATCTCAGAACAGTGAAAAAGATCAGGTCTCAGGACTGTGATGTCCCTGTACCTCCACAGCAGCCTCAGCCAGRTGCTACAGCTTACAAGGTAGAAGAGGCCAAATGTACGATGATTTCATAGGTAGCCATCATGATGGCTGCATTTGGGATCTGGCGGATCAGGTGYGCCAGGAGCCCCCGGTACAAAGCCGAGGGTCCCTCTTCGCGGACCACGAGCTGCACAGTCTGTGTAAAGGAACGGTATCGTGACCCTTCCTCTCGCAACCGTGTCCGAATGACCTCTGCAGAGACAAGAAGGGAAGGGATGTATCAGCAGATGGCTCCCACAGGCACGGCACCTCCCATCAAGGGAAAAGCAGCAAGCAGAGTGAAGCCACTCACCGTGTGGATATGCAATGCACGTAGCACATGTTTTGGAGACAGCAGCAGCGCCCATTAGTCCAAAGAAATCRTGGTTGGTTGGTGGAAGTGTGAGTGCTGAGGAATGGGAATGCTGGCTGTTTCTCAGCTCCTGTTTGAGTGCTTCATAGATGACAAAGTGTATGATGGTCTCCGACACTCCGGCGTAGGAGGCAGTGATCCCGCGGTAAAATCCACGCAGGCCTTCCGTGCGGTACACGTGCATGGCACACTGGAGAGCATTGCTGGTCATCTCCCCCTTCACCCTGGAAAGGAGGGAGAGGCTTAGGAGGGCACACTGCACCCCTGACCTGCAGTGCTGCTGTGAACACAGCCACAAGGCTCTCGCCCAGCCGATGACCAGACCCTCCCTACCCAATGGCACCCCCAAACCACTCCTGATGTGGCACGGAGTGGCTCTGCACTGCTGGCCTGCCTTACCTGGCTTCCAGCTGCATCCTGGTTTTCACCAACCAGATGGGGTTGGTGAGTGTGGCTGAGCTAACGCCTGGGGAACAGAAGAGGAAGACAGCAGTTAGTGCCAGGATCACGCTGAGAGTTTGTGAAGAGGTGCTGATCTATCAGCTCTCTGAGCTCTGCTTGGCAAGCTGCAGGCATTTGTAATTTGAGAATGACCTTGAGAAGAGATATTTAGAGCAGACTGTTTGATTCTCCTCCTCYCCTATTCCAGCCTTTGTCTAGCAATAATTAGCCCCTCTGCCTCCAACAAAATCCTACAAAGCCGGGTGTTACAAAGAGGCAGGAAACAGTGGGCTAATTTTGACAGAGTGGAGGATTTTGTTAGAGAACTGGGATATATCAAAAGAAATGGTTCTGTGAGTGGTCTAAATTRCATGCCACCTTCTCCATCTCACAGCAGAATAGAGCTCCTGATAGCAACTGAAGGGGTGAAGACTAGACCTGAAGAGATGAGCCTAAGAAGAACAAAGAGTGAGAAAAAAATTTGGTTATCYAAGGAATTCACTTCTCCAGAAGGAGGGAGAAAACTTCCAAGCAGCAATGGAGAAGGAATGAAACCCATATACACTTCCAGACAGAAGGACCTCTTGGCTTTGATTTGAGACAGAAAAGCCTTACCTGCACAGGCTGCTGCTAATATGTGTACTTTCTTGGACTCTGGCACCATGACAGTATTAAGCCTCTCCTTAATACTAGAATAGGCAGCAAAATATATGGCCCTGGTTGGAAAAAAATACAGAAGWGGTTACAGCTCCCCTATGAGGAGCAAAGACACTGCTGTGGGGTCTCACTCCAACTTCTCTTACTCCCAGCACAGGCTTGTTTAACGTGATATCAGATACCATTTATATCTGGCCCACAGCAATCATCTTAACTGTGATCAGATGTTAAATATCTGGGTGAAGGGGTCCTGTGGCACATGAGGACAAGGCCCAGATGGCTTTCAGAAAGTGGAGCAACAGTTATGACACAGGTCCCTTAAGAAGAGTACAACATGAGGCACTGTCACGGAGCACTCACCGGGAAGGAGCAACACCAGCRAGGTTTGGACCCAGACCTCGGAACAGCGACCGTATGCCTTCCTTCTCAAGGATGGCCCTACAGGAGGAAATGAACAGAGAAATCAGCAGAATTACTAAGCTGGGGGCTCTCCTGCTCCTCCACCTCCTTTGTTCTTCACCATTTCTTGTAGCAACTTCTCCTCACCTCCCATTTATCCTTTTCCTGCCCCACTCTCATTTTATCTCCCAGCAATTCTCCTCTCTCCTTCAGTCACAGAATGGCTTGGGCTGGAAGTGACATTAAAGACCATGTAGTTCCAACTACCCWGCCATGGGCAGGGACRCTTCTCACTAGTTATTGCATCCTATTCTTGATGCCACCATCCCTCTGGCTCTGATAACCCRCTGGCTGAGAAGTTTCCCACAGTCCCCAAAGKTGCSTTGCAGAGCATAGACCACTGTGAGGAGCAGGTGTACCTGTGCTCTGATCAAACTTTCTATTGCACTTGTGACTTCCAGAGCCTCAGCTCAACTCTTTTTCTCTCTCCACTCACACCCTCCACCTGATGGCCAAACCATGTTCCTGGTGCTAACACACACGCTGCCCTGTCCTACTCACCTCAGCAACTGGAGCACTCCGGGAGATGGTGGAGTGGGATTCATGAGCCTCACACTCATCCCTGGCAGCTGTATCTCTGGAAGGTATAGAGGCCGCAGTGCCAGCTGGGATGACTGYAGACGTGTCTTCACCACTTCCAGGGGACAGGTCAGGATGGCTCCGGCTGTGCCACCACATCTAGGGCACAGCAGGACRTTTAAGAATGACCTCTGTGCCATAATAGGACAAAAATTCTGACCCTGCTTGTCCACAACTTGTCCCCTCTGGGYGAGGAGGTTAGGTACTCTGGCCTGTGTCACATGTGAGCTCCTGCTCTGACACTGATTAACGTACCAGCTCAGCTTGGGACATCATCTGGCACTGTGACTCTGAAACCTCACTCAGTATTTGAGACAAAGAGTCCTAAGTCCGTGGGGACTCAGCAGTCCCCAGAGCAAACATTTCTGTTGCCCAATGTCACTRCAAAGCCTTCTGCTGAGGTCACCAGGCACCGTGGCTCACACCTCGCCACAGCCACRCTGGCTCACAGAGGGGCAGCACTGAATTCTCCCACCCCACAGCCTGCCTGTGTCTTTAATCCATAACCAGGTCAGACCCACATTTGCGACGCCCTGCCAGCAAGACCTGTATTTTCTGCCAACAGCCAGGCTTTTTCCAAGACTGGCTTGCCTAATGGAAGAGGAACCTGACCTTCAGCAGGCAGAACCTATTTTTGGAACTCATGAACCATCTCCGTCAATCGGTCTCATCACACTGCAGGAATGCTGAAAGGACACATATCSCCTTTTTCCCTTTCTGCCACTCAGGGACAAGTCCGAACTGATATATTTGTTCTCAATTTCTGCCCCTCTAAATCCTTTGACTGGTAACTCTCTCTTCTAGAGGATGCTCAGTACCTGAAAGACCATTTTGAGATGAATTTGCATGTAARTCATGCAAGAGGCTTTGACAAATGGACGATGGTTCATATTTGCTACAGCCAAAGTTGCTTTGTTTCACAAGAGATAGAGGCATAATAAAAAGCTCACTCAGTGCCAAAGAAAGAAAAGCCAACCAAAGAATTACAAGACATGATGGTACAGGGCAGTAAATGGAGAGAGTTCTAAAGAATTATTTTGAAAAACCCTACACAGCTCAGCATACTATTCTCACAGCTTTTGCTCTTAGGACTTCATTTATCATTGCCAGCAGGTGGGGGGGGGGGGGGGGGGGGAAGAGGCCTGGATGTCTACTGCACTGACATCCAAGAGTTGGAGATATGGCAGCTGGGAGATTATGCAACTAATGATGCCAGCAACTAGTTATGCTATTCCGTAACACTCATGTTGCTTCGTCAAGCCCTTGGCAGATGTACACAGTGGTGGTGATGACTTGCAGAGCAGTCCACCGGCAGCAATTTTCCTCAAGAGGTAAATGAATGGTGGGAGTCTGGGAAGTCCAGAATTTAGCTCCAGCTCAGAAGACAACACCCAGCAAAGCTGTGAACATCCTGGCTCCAGTTCTCTGGGTGAACAAGCTGATGGAGCACAGACACAAGACACAACCTACAGAGCAATACAGAGTTGCACGAGGCAGGGTCTCCTTTTACAAAKGCCATGTTCATTCTTCCCATATAGACCATATTTACTTAGGGGCCCAACAGTCCTGTTCTTTACCATAGATTCTATTAATTTGCCTGATACAGGCTCCAGACTTACGTGCCTGTTGTTTTTTTGACAAGTACAGTCTCCAGTTCAGGAGAAGATTGAGTACAATGGTGACAGATCAAGGTCTAAAAGGTCTGAATAGGGCAGTTTTAACTCCTTATCTAAAAGCTGAGCAAACAGTACACCAGGAAAACGTTCAGAGAAGCAATTGCTTGGTATACTAAATACTAAATTTTCTCCCTAATAGTGCATCAGGAGGCAAAAGTTTATGTAATGTTCTCTTAATATCTTATTTCTTCAAGAAGTCCCCCCCTGGAATGGTCAGGATATAAGTTTGAACCCACGCTTCCAGTATATAAGTTTTTTAAGGTCAAGTTCTTGAAGCTGCTGATACATACAGATAATAGAGAGGTATTATACAAGCAATAATAATAGTTAAAGAAATTGTTACTCCCTTAGCATGGTGGTCACTCAATCAGCAGAAACAGTGTCTGAGGTGAAGGGGGATCTCTGAGCCACTATGACTCAACGGCAAGATYGAATAAGACCAAAGAACACCAATTAGATAAAGCTGAGGAAATGAGGTGTACAAGTTGTTCAAAACTAGAAGAAATCTAAACTGTGATGTGTTACTGTACATTACATGATGATACAGCTGCTTACACTGTATGAAAGAYGTAGGTCTGCAAAATTCTTCTCTTTCAGGAGAAATGGAAAATTATGTGTCATTACTTTAGAAGCAGGAACTAAAGCAATTTCTGCAAAATGGGATGAAGAGCAGCAGTTGAAAATGAGTATAACATGAGTTGTCAGAGCAAAGCAGAGGCAAAAAGCGCTAATTGAAGAAGGCGGGTAATTTTACCTTAGAAAATGGCACTTGCCTCTAKATCTTGCTTTCACATTTTAAAGGGAAAACTGGGAAGTTTTAGGTGACAGAAAAAGAGGATTATTTGAGAAATACCAAAGGCACTGTTAAYACTTTTTAAATGAGCTAAAAAGCATATAAACACATCTACAGAGGTGAAATGTTTATGGGTAATGCATGTTAACTCTTACTTAGGCTAGCCAAAAACTGAGATTGCTTGAAGATCTCCATTTAAKAATAGCAATGCTGGGTCAACAAACCTGGAGTCAAACCAGGCTTCTGCCTAGGACATGAACAAATAAAGGTCATCTATGGAAGAGTAGGAGAAATACTCACCTCCAGAACACTCTCCCACCTTCCATAATTTTCAGCTCAGGGATTTCCTCAGACAGAAATGCTGCCTTGCTTTTAATAGCCCTCAACACTTTTCATTCATCTTTTTAAAATGCTTCCTGGACACATAAAAAGTCTTTACTCTCTACTATCCTGCGGCCAGGAGTCCCACAGTTTAACTGCACACTATGGTAAGAACAATGCTCTTGCATTAGTATAGAACAAACCTTACTCAAGTTTCATTTGTTTTACTTGTTATAGTAGAAGATAAAGTGAACAACTGTTCCTTCATGAATAAGACCCTGTTTTGTTTCATTATGTAAAACACAAGTATTAAATACAGTACAACAATAGACTCCTTATTCTTCTCCTACTCACGTTATTATCCCTGGGGTTTTAATTAACTGTAWTTCAGGAGCACTGCTTAATGCATGAGGATGGGATACAGACTGACAAAGTTCCCACTAGTGACATTCTACTTACTAGCCAAACTCTCAGTTTTTCAGGAACCATGGTGGAAAAAGAAGAGGAAAAGCTTAAGAGGAAAGCTAAGRAATAAAAATATATTAAGAAAGTCCAAGATGTAATGATTATATAGATCAAAGCACAAATTAATAAAAGAGAATAACATATACAAAATAACAACGGGAACAGAGAGGACAAGTACATATACACAAGAACTGCATTAGCTGCAGAAAACTGGAAATTTACTAGTTAAAAGCAATTAAATTATGCGCCTTATTGTACATGCTGTGTCACAGGCTTCACTATCACACGGACTCCAACAGGTTGATGGGATTTGGAAAGGGATTAGGTGCCTGCCCAAGCAGAAGGCTTCTGCAGTTACTCAGCAAAATCCAGAGAACCACATTATCTTCTGCTTTAGGGCACCATAAACTTGAAGTTCATTGTTTTGAGACTTTAAAGAGAGAAAGAGGGAAACACCACGTGAGAAATAACTTGCTCAAGGGCACGCTTCGAATGTAGAGGCACCACCGGGATCCAAACACCTGACTCACCAGAATCAGCCGCACTATTTAAAGCCAGAAAAGCCACTCAGGAATCTCAGCCATGCAATCATGATGGAGAGAGCTGGCCGCCTWCCCGAACACATGGATGGTCCAACACTTATCCCCCTGAAGGGGCCTCGTGGCACCTCTCGTTCAGCACCCCTCTCCTTKTCCCCCATTTCCAGCAAGCTCAGGCTGGGTGAAACCCCATTTCCCACAGGGAAGCTCCCCTTCTTCCAAAGCCGCGGAGCCGCACATTGATCCGGGCGCTGCGGGGCTGTTCCACAGCGCTGAGCCCTGCTCCGAGCCCGGCACAGCCGCGACAGCGCGGGCGAGCACGGCGGGGGCTGCTCCCCCGGCTCCCCCCGCCCGAATCCCGCCCCAGAGCGCCCTCCTGCCCCGGTCCGCACATCCCGGGGCCACTCACCCTCCGGCGARCAGGTGGAGCAGCGTGCTGTGCTGCGACATGTCCCCGCCGCTGCTGCCCGGCCGCCCGCACCCCGGGCCCGCCGCAGTGGCCCCCGCCCGCCCGGAGGAGGTGCCCGGGCGGCGGCAGCGGGAGGGGCGGGCGGGGCGCTGCGAGGGGAACGAGGATTCCTTCGAGCACATTCACGGCTGGCAATTCACACAGCTTCTTTCGCCCGGCCGCTCGAGGGTCTTTCATTGAAAGCAAACTAACGACTCCCCCAAGCGCCCAAACTGACTCCCAAACTGACCCCCAAACCGACCCCCAAAATTAAACAAAGTCGTTTTTGTTTTGTAAGTAGGGGAGCCCAGGCAGAGGTGGCAAAAAGATTTCTTTGACCACAGGGAAGTGATGGGTCCAAGAGCAGAGCCAAGTCGTCCCTGACTCTCGTCCTCACTCATGGGATCACAGATACTTCCTCAGATGTTTGGGCTCATTTAAAAACGGGCCAATGGTCTCCACAAAACCCCCCAACCCTCTGAATAAATTAGACCCATGATTTGAAGGTCAGAGGATCAGTGTGAGAAAGACAGAATATTCAGGCACAAAAGATCCTCCGTTGCATTTGCAAATGCAGTTTCAGAGTTCATTGAATATCGTCTTCCTTACAAAAAAGCAGAATGTACATCAACATGATGCTGTTGCCAAAAAGGCACACATCATATCAGTTTATGTGTTTAGGAGGATAGCCTGTAGGTCCGATGAAACAAGCTGTCACAACAGCTCYGTTCTGCTGTGACTTCACTCACAGCACTGAGTGACACAGGACTGTGTGTCCAGTTTGGGTACTACGCTGCTACAGCAGAGACAAATTCCTCTCCACAGAAAGGAATAACTACCATGGCTATTCAAGCAGGAGAACTGAAAAAAATTACAGTGTTTAGTCTAGAGGAGAAGGAATTGAGGGAGACAGGGCAACTGAGTCCAATTAAGTACAAAGATACTTCAAAAGGGAAATGAGTACCTTGTCTGCGGTGGAAAAGAACAGAACCGTCAGCTCATCAATTGCCTGGCACTACCTGGACAGTGAAGGGAAGACCAGTAAAAAGACTGGTTTTCTGGTCAGTGCAATTGGAAATTGGTCAAAGATACCTGGAAGCTCCAAGTATTTTTCACTTGTCTTCACTCTGATGGTGGCTAGAGGGATATCTTAAATAGCACCAATTCCAAGTGGGGAAAAAGTAATTCTAGATTTCTAAGCACTTAGGCAAAGTCAATGTGTTCAGACTAATTAGGGTTGATGAACTTCTTTTCTGCRATGGCTGGAGAACTGCCTGAAGCAGCATCAGGCTCACTGGCCACTATCTTTCGATATCTAGACAATGGAGAGGTTCAGAAGAGTGAAAAAGGCCAAATACATTGGCTATTAAAAAAAAATCTGATTATTTGCCAACCAGCATAATTTTACTGCCTTCCCCTGTGATGCTAGAACAAATAAACATTATG